GGAAGGAAGGAAGGAAGGAAGGAAGGAAGGAAGGAAGGAAGGAAGGACATATATCACAGACATATATCTGGAGCTAGGTATAGTGGTCCTAGAGCAAGCGTTGAGATTGAAGGCTTTGTTTCATACCAAGAATGACCTAGCATTTTCAGGGTCACATGTGGTGAGTGAAGGAGAGACAGGAGTTTATTTAATAGTGTTATCTGTATAAGATGGCACTCTTCTGACCCTCAGTCATCCCTGCAACAATCTTGCCCTTCTGTGGAGAGAAGAGAGGGGCAGCCCCAGCTGCTTAACAGCCCCCATCTGCACCTCCTGCTGTTTCCTCTCCCTTAAGAGCTGTTGTATTAGCTGGGTGGTGGTGCACACCTTGAATGCCAGCATCCAAAGGCTGGCAGACCTCTGAGTTCCAGGCCAGCCTGGTCTACTGAGTGAGTTCCAGGCCAGCCTGGTCTACTGAATGAGTTCCAGGACAGCCAGGGCTACACAGAAACCCTGTCTCTAAAAAACAAAAAACAAACAACAAAAAGAAAAACCCAACAGACTCCTACATTTCCTTTAGTTCCTCATACTTATTTTTTAAACTAAGCTAATTCAAACACCTTAATGATGCAGGGAGCATTAGATAATGTTCTTGATTACCACATCCTGTACATAGCAAGAAGTTGGTCGAGTACCAAACCCACATGCTGAACCACCTTCCCGGGAGGAAAGAAGACAGGAAAGGCATGAGATTATCAATTCTTACCTGACAGTCATAAAAAGGGTGTCCCCGCCAACACATCACATCCAAAACATAGTAGGTCTGGTTCACCTCACTGTAAATGCAGTCCAGAATGGTGTAGTCTATAGACACAAGGAAGAAAGTCAACACAGAACTCAGCTTCTAGCCAGGCTTCCATCCACCATGATGAAAGGAGCCCCATCTTAAGAGGCTCAAGCAGAACAATCCTCGGGGCTTATGACAACCGACAGCACTAAAGACGATGAATACATCAAGGAGAGAGTTCTGCATAGCCCTTTGTAGCTACCTGGCATAGCTTAAGGATGTTGTGATGTAAGATAATATGAGAGATCAAGATAATACTTTAGACAAATGGGAATTCTAAACAAGGTGGGACATTAATTTTAAAGAGACTCAGGTTTTAGTTTGCTTTTTTGTTATTGTTGTTTGTTTTGTTTGTTTGTATTTAAGACAAGCTAGTCTGGAATATGTACCTGAAGATGACTTTGAACTCTTGGTCTTCTTATAGGCAGGCCCCATCAAACCTGCTATTTTGTTGTTCTTCTGACTTGAGACAGGACCTCATATTGTAGCTCAGACTGGCCTCAAACTTAAGGCAATTCTACTGTCCTTGGCTTTCTGGGATCACAATCACCTGCTACAACTCCAGGCTATTTTTATTTTATGTGTATGTCAAAGGTTTTGCTCTGTTCCCCCAGCTGAAATTAGTCTTCTGTGTGACTGGACACAACCATATCTGGCTTACAATTACTTGTTACATTCTTAAGAACTGTATCATGTGGGGGATATCAAGTATAAGTTGTTACTTTAAGGAAAGAGATCAGGTGACCGCAGAAATAGTCAGGAGCTAAGAGCTAAGTTGAGCAACAGGAATTCTAGAAGGAGAAAGCAGGGTAAAGGAGGCAGGCTACAGTCCCACTTGCCTGTAATCCCTGCACTTGGTAGGCTGAGATAAGAGAATCAGGAATTCAACAGTCAATTCATCAGCCATCCTTAGCTACATGACCAACCTGACTCCTACATGAAGTTCCGTGTCAAGATAAGAAAGAAAAAAAAGAAAGAAAGGAAGGAAAGAAGCAGCCAACCTAAAGGAGAACTACATAAGGAATACAGGAGAAACCTTCAATGAGTCTCAGCAGGTACAGAATAAAGCAGGGTAGGGTTTCGGGTCCAGCTTTACCAGTTCCACTCAAATAACCGAGAATACATTATTTAATCCTTATAACCCTAGTGCACTTATTGAGGCAAAGTAGGAGGAAAGCTAAGGTAGCTAAGGAAAACAAAGAAGAAAGAAAACTGGGCTGGAACACCCCAGAAACAGCTCGCTATGCCATTACACTTGACATTCTCTCAGGAGCCTTTCCAGAAGAAACTGTGTGTCCTTTTGTAATAAGGTTACCAAGGCATAGTAACCTTCATTCAAAGATATACTGCCTAGTGGGCCTCACAGGACACATGTACCATGCAGCTGAGGAGACCTGACATTGAAGGGAGGATGCTTCCAAAGTGCGTCATTAAAACAATTAACCAAAGGTCTGCCCTGCACATGCACATAGCAAAGTTGTGGCATCACTCTGGTGGTGAGGCCTCAGGTTTCCTCTCTAACGTCTAAAGCCCAAGACCTTCCCCCATGGATTTCCATCATTGACCAGGGAGCAAGACTAGGAATGGGGATGTGGTCTCCTCCCTGGAGAGTAACAGGGATCAACAAGAACACCAACAGTAGCTGGCCCTGAGACTATATCAAAATCAATGACAGCACATATTTTATAGAAAACCACCTGGGATTTTACATATGCAAACTCTGCCTGATTCTACACAACAAGGAGGGGAGCGACCTCATCTGCATCTAAGGCCAGAAGCATCAGACAACTTGACCCAGGGAGCACCAATGGAAGCTAAAGAGGTCCCACCTAGCTATGCCAGAGAAGGGTCAAGGTGAAAAGAAAGAAATGTGTGACAATCAGTAGCCTGGGATGCAAAGCAGCAGAAGGGCATGGAGCCTACTGTTGTAGATAGACAGTCTTGAGAACATCAGCACTAGCATGAACTTCCACTATTTTCTGTCTATCTATAACTAGAGGATTGATGCCCTAGAACAGTGCAGTGTAACTGCTCAGGGATCAAGTCCTTCCAGATCATTGTCTCCAGATGCTCAACAGAGAGACTAGCAAGGCCAAAAGACAAGTTTTTAGATCCACACTAGAACTGAAAACCAATTAGTAGTTTTTACTCCAATTCCACATAAAATGCAGGACAACCCAGCCCCATCCAGTGCATCTTCAAGACCCTGTGAGTGCAAACCAGTCCTGGCTCTCACCTTGCTTGGTCTGCCTCTAACCCCATGTCCCACATCTCTCCAACTGGCTTGTCTGGCTCATAGGGTCCCACCATAACAATGAATGTCCAATTCTCTGATTCATCTGCCCACCAGCCCCAAGCACTCACTCATCTCACTGCCTGACCTCCAGACCCTTGAAATGCACCTACTTGCTCCTGAAATCTACCCCCATGCTCCAAGGGTACATCCACTAGCCCTAGGAAGCCACCCCATCAGGTCAGAGGTCCAACCCTAACTTCTGTGGCCTCACTCAGCTCCCACACTTCCTGCTACCAACTGAAATGCTAAGTACAACTGTCTGGTTTGTTTCTGCTTTTTCCCATAGAGAATATTTGCAACTTTTTTCTATCTCCAAACCCACTGATCAGACTCCCTGTTAACAAACAACAGTAAAGCCGTCAGTCAGAGATGTAGAGCTATTGTTAAAGTGGTTGTCTAGTAAGCACAAAGCCACAGGTTCAGCACTCAGCCCATAAAGCATGGCACAGTGACATAGAGACAAAATGGTCAGAACTTTAAGATCTTCCTTAGCTACAGAGCAATTTGAAGGCCAGTCTATGCAGCATGAAATTGTCTCATAAGCAAAACCATGGTGGTGGAGGAATGGCTCAGAGCAGTGGCTGCTCTTTCAGAGAACCCTGGTTCAATTCCCAGCATCTATATGGAAACTCACAGGACTTTATAACTTTAGTGCTATGGGTTCTGACAGACTCTTCTGGCCTCTAGGGGCATTGCATACAAACGGTGCACAGATAAACATGCAGGCAAAATATCCATATACATAAAATAATAAAATATATTTAAAAAACTTTAAAGAGCCAGGTGTGGTGGTGCACACCTGTAATCCCAGCACTCTGGGAGGCAGAGGTAGGTGGATCTCTGTGAGTTTGAGGCCAGCAAGGTCTACAAAGTGACTCTAGGACAGTCAATGATACGCAGAGCAACCCTGTCTCATAAAACAAAACAAACAAAAACATACCTAATCTTGTCCTAGGTAACAAAAAATGCAAATAGACCAGGCGTAATGGCACATGACTATAATCCCACCACTTGGGAAGTAGATCAAAGAAGGTAAAGATTTCATGTCTTAACTACGTGGCAAAATCGAAGATAGCCTGGGCTATACAAGATTTTTTTTTAATGATAAAAACTTAGTAAATAACTGGGTATAGTGGTACATGCTTATAATCTCAGATTGTAATCCTAGCACAAGGGAAGCTAAGGCAGGATGATCAGGAGGTTCAGGCCTGCCTGGGTTACATGGTATGCTAGATAGTTTTATGTCCACTTGCCATTAACTAAAGTCATCTGAGAAGAGGGAACCTCAATTAAGAAAATGACTCCATTAAGATCAGGCTGTAGGCAAGCAAGCTTATAGAGCATTTTCTCAATCAGTGACTGGTGGGGGAGGGCCCAGCCAGTCCATGGTGGATGGTACTGTGCCTGGGCTGGTGGTCCTGGATTCTATAAGAAAGCAGGCTGAAAAAGCCAATAAGCAGCACCCCTCCATGGCCTCTGCATGAGCTCCTCCCTCCAGGTTCTTTCCCTATTTGAGTTCCTGTCTTGGCTTCCTTATATGATAAAATACAATGCAGAAGTATAAGGCAAATAAGCCCTTTCCCCTGGAATTTGCTTTTGGACATGATGTTTAATCAGCAATAGTAACCCTCGCTAAGACACATGGCTCACATTAATAAACAAAACAAAACAAAACAAAACAAAACAAAACAAAACAAAACTGAGGACTATGGCTGTAGTTTAGTGGTAGAGTCATTTAAAGGTTTTGTTTTGTTTTGTTTTCAAGACAGGATTTCTCTGTGTAGCCCTGGCTGTCCTAGAAGTCACTCTGTGGACCAGGGTGGCCTCGAACTCACAAAGATCCACCTGCCTCTAGCTCCCCAAGTGCTGGGATTAAAGGTTTGGACCACCTCTCCTGGCTTAACATTTTATTATTATGTATGCTACATGGGCATGTGTTATGGCATGTAACACGAGTCCTGTGTGGAGATCAGAGGACAACTCTTAGGAGTTAACTTTCACTGTAGGTTCTAAGAACCAAACTAGGTCATAAGGACTTCACAGAAAGCACTTTCACCTACTGAATATGCTGGCTGGCCCCTGAAGCCTCAGAGATCTTTTGTGTTGAGCCCTAACACCAAAGGAATAGTGTAGTGTAGGAGGAAAATCAAAAAACACAGAAAATGGATATCATATGTAGGTACCTTTGGCTGTTGTTGAGTTCTTCCTGTTGCCTCCTGGAAGAAGGGAAGAAAACCTGTTGACACAATAGCCACTCTTGGTGTAGGCACTGGTTGAGCCCTGTAAGTAGAAAGCTCCCATTCTCATTAGGCATTCACAGGTATTCTTGACTTTTCCTTCTTTATTTTATAGGGTTGTCATTAGCCCAGAGATGGCTTACAACAGCCTCTCCCAGCAGGAAAGCACTGTGAGGCCAACTCCAGGCAGAGCTGATGTGGCAGATGAAAATGAGAGGCAAAATCCCTTTTATCACATACTAGGCTTGCTAGCATAAGAGGCAGGAAAGTAGTTACTCACCCTGGAGGCCACGATAAGGGCTCTTTTCCCAACAGGACACACAACCACAATCCATTCTTCCCCCAAATCTGAAGGGACGTCAATTAACCATTCAGAAAGCATCAACTAGGAACACAAAAAATGGTGTAAAAGATCAGGAGTGTGTTATTCAAACATTACAAGAAGAAGGCATTCACATCCTACATACATAATACAATACAAATAAAAGTTGAGAACAAAGGTACTTTCATGCCAAGTGCTCTCAGAAAGCATGACAGATAGAGGGTATTCGCTGGTGACTTGACATCTGCCCTTATTATCACCATCTACACCCTACTTACTCACTTACCTCAAGGTCTAAAGTACAGGACTCTTTCCCTTTCCTTCCTTGCCTACTGCCTACCATCATAACTACTACATTCTGGGTTTACACTTCAGAAATGAATATTCATCTTGAGCCATGCTCAGACTTAACTATCATTTCCAAGTTGACATGCCACGTGTTATGATAAAAGGCACTAGGAGACAGGCATGGTGAAATAGGTATATAATCTCTACTACTGGAGGATTGCTCAGGTGGGAGGATTGCCAAATTCACAGCTTGCCTGAACAACTTAAGGAGATGCTATTTCAATTCTTTCAGGCTGGCCTGAAACTCACTATGTAGGTGAAAACGACTCTGAACTTATGACCTTCTTGGTTCTGCCTCCTGAATGTTAAAAGTGCAGGCCTGAACTGGCAATGATGGCATGCACCCTTAATCCCAGCACTGAGAAGCAGAGGCAGACAGATCTCTGAGTTGGAGACAAGCCTGGTCTACAGAGAAAGTTCCAGAACAATAAGAGCTACACAGAGAATCTGGGGGAGGGGGAAAATTCCAGTCTATTTCTTAGATATGGTGCACAGAAACTCTTGCAGGCATAGTCACATTTTAAAAAAAGAATTCTAGCAAGATTGCCAATAGTTTTTATAGGGGCTACTGATTCATGGAAAACACTTTTGTTTTTGTTTTGTTTTTCAAGGTATCATTTCCCTGTGTAGCCTTGGCTGTCCTGGACTCACTTTGTAGACCAGGCTGGCCTTGAACTCTCAGAGATCTGCCTGCCTCTGCCTCCCTTACTGCTGGGATTATAGGAGTGCACCACCACACCCAGCTAGAAAACACTTTAAAAAGCTATTTTACATTTACTTATTTCATTTTGTGTGTGTTTTGCCTTCATATATACATCATACCACTGATGACCGTGGAGGAGACCAAAAGGAGTTTGGGTTCTCTGGTACTGAAATTATAGATAGTTGTGAGCCACAATATGGATGCTGGGAACTGGACTCCAGTTCTCTGAAAGAAGTGTTCTTAACCACTAAGCCATTTCTTCGGCCCCAAAACAACATTTAAAAAAATTTCTTCCAAGCCAGGCATGGCCTGCCTCTTGGGGCACAGAGAGGGTCATGGTCTAGGGCTCTGAGGATATAAATATGAGAGCCCAGAAAGAGAAAGCACAGCTTGCAATGGTGGTGAGTGGCAGTCTGGAGAGAGCAGAGACCAGAGACAAATGGTGTGGTGGCTGGGAGACAGATGGAAAGAAACATTTCAATACAACTTGGAGGAGACTACTTGCTGCACCTGCTGTTGACTGAGATTGAACCCATCGACCCTAAACAGCTAGGAGAAGTAAAGGTGCCTGCACTCCCTCTCTCCACTAACCTTCTCTCTCTTACGCAGGGTTGTGGGTTGGAAAAATAGAGTTTAAAAACGAGCGCTACATCATTGTGATCATTAACTCATAGCAACTGCTGTTTCTTAAACTGAGCTTACAAAAGACAAGCCTTGTCAACAGGGCCTACCCCTCCCTGCTGAACTACAGGCTATGGTAGATTCTGGGAAGTGGGAGTCAATGTCCTCAGATGCATACCCACAGGCAAGCCCATCAGGCTCCAATGTAGAGGTTCAAATCAGAAATATGAATGACCCCAATTAAATGCAGAAAGTCACAAAACAAAAAGTCATGAATTTGAGAAAGAGATTTGTAGGGAAGGGGAGTTGTAGGGATAGGAAGGATATAAGACAAGGTGAAGAGTCAGTAGGCAAAATGCATTATATACTTATATCAGATTGTAAACAAAAAAATGTAGCTAATAAAATACTTTGAGCAAGATAACAAAAAAATGTAGCTAATAAAATACTTTGAGCAAGATCTGGTGGTGCACACCTGTAATCCCAGCACTCTGGGAAGCAGAGGCAGGCAGAACTCAGCCAGTTTGAGACCAGCCTGATCTACAAAGCAAGGACAGGACAGTCAAGGCTACACAGAGAAACCCTGACTTGAAAAAACAAAAAACAAAACAAAACAAAATCCCTTCGAAACAGAAAGATAATGTCCTAGAATTGAATAATGGTCATAGCTGCACAGTCCTATGACTATACTAAAAAAAAAAAAGAAACAAAAACCATAGAATTTCAGTATTCTCTCTCTCTCATTCTCAATTGAATTTCATACTGTAGATCAGGCTAATACAGAATTTATTATGTAGCCTAGGCTGGCCTTGAACCCCTGGCAATCCTTGGCCAACTAAATGCTGGGATTTACAGGTAGGAGCTACCATACCTGGCTCATTTTGTCAAGTGTGGCATAGTGATTAGGTGTTTCAAGGTTCAACATTACCTTAGTCAACTGGATGTTCTGCACAGGATCTCTTTATTTAAGGGCAGATGCACTTCCTGTCCACCTCAGTGTACAGTGCCAAGACTGGCCTCCAAATACTCTAGCTGGGAAGACTACCAACCAAGGAAGGGATGAGGACACTGGGGTGATGAATAGGAAACTAGACAATGACTATTATTAAAAAAAAAAAAAAAAAAAGCTGGTGTGGTAGCACAGACCTTTTAATCCCAGTACTTGGCATGTAGAAATAGGCAGATATCTGTAAGTTCAAAGCTAACCTGGTCGTTACAGTGAGTTCTAATTCCAGGATAGCTAAGACCCTGCCTCAAAAATAAATAGATAGATAGATAGATAGATAGATAGATAGATAGATAGATAGATAAAGTTTTTTAAGATTACATGGAAGGCCAGGTATGAGGGTGCATGCCTGTAATTACAGCAAAAGAAAGGACTGCTGTAAGTTCAAGGCCAACCTGATCTACATAGTAGTTCCAGGCCAGCCACAGCTACATGGAAATATACTATCTCAAAAACCAACAATGACAAAAGAAGAGGAGGCTAGGTTCTAGTTAAATAGTGACACAGTATTTACTTAGCACACGCAAAGCCCTGGATTATGTTCCCTGCCCCCCAAAAATGAAAAAGGATGATGAGGACATTGGATATGTTACTAGAGAAGTAGTTCAGGAGCTTTCTGTAGGGGGCTGGCAGCCTGTGCTTAACAGCATGGGCTAGATGGACAAGCAACTCCAAAGCACTGTCCACACACTACATGTGCTTTTTTTGGTTTTGTGTTTGTTTTGTTTGAGACAGGGTTTCTCTACATAATCCTGGCTGTCCTGAACTTACTATATAGATCAGGTTGGCCTCAAACTCATAGAAATCTACCTGCCTCTGCCCCCAAGTGCTGGGATTAAAAGTGTGGTACTCCAATACACCCAGCTGCATCAATGCTTCTAAGTCAGCCACCAGAGCTATAAACCCGCTCTGCTACAATCCAGTCTCTCCACAAATACAACAGCAATTCCTTATCATTACACTTGCCAATCCTCCTTTCATGGCAGCGCTTATTATGGTAGGTTTTGGCTGCATGTGGAAAATGCAGAACTCTGGACCACTCACTTGATTAGCATAGCGTTTTGGTAACTTCTTGCCAGGGTCAATATCCATTTCCTCTTCATCCTCACTCTCCGTTCCTGTCCAGTCATCCTCAGCCAGTCTTCTAGCATGGTTCACATAATCCAACCGCTTGCTAGAAGAGAAGAAGGTAAGGACAGGTCTACACATAGTATAAAAGAGATCCTGTAATGTGATCATTCAATTCCAGCACGACAAATTTGGAAGCAACTAGCTGATTCTGGTGGGGTAAGAAATAACAGAATCTCCTTTGTGAGATTAAACTAGTGACTGTCTCCTCAGAGCTCCCAATCAGGAAACTCCCTCTGAACACACTAAGCCTTCCTCAGTTTCTTAAGAATGTTCAAAGTAAAATATTTATTCTTAAAAGAATTTCCAAAATTCACTGGCTCAGTAAACTTAACCCACATTACCCAACTGCGCTCCAGACTAGCAGTTAGCATTTCCTGCCTGGCAGACTCATCAAAGGCCTCAGAGATGGGAAGGAGGAAACAGCTAAATTCAGTGAGAAGTGCAAAACAAGAACATCTTCGGGGCTTTCCACTTCTGACAGCATGTTGATAAAAACAAGTAAACAAACAAACAAAAACTCAAAGCTCAGGCTTTTCTTCTTTGACTTTTAAAAGAGGTCACTTCTAGCCAGGCATGGTGGTGCACATCTTTAACCCCAGCACTCAGGCAAGCAGATCACTGTAACTTCGAGGCTAGCCTGGTCTACAAAATCCAGGACATCCAAGGCTACACAAAGAAACCCTATCTCATAAAACCAAAAAGATAAAATAAAATAAAAGAGGCCACTTGGCTTAAGACTTGACATCTAGCCTGGCCATGGTGGCACATTCCTTTAGTCCCAGCACTTGGGAGGCAGAGGCATCTCTGTGAGTTCAAAGCCAGCCTGGTCTACAAGGTGAGCTCCTGGACAGCCAGGGCTATACAGAGAAACCTTGTGTCTGTGTAAAAAAAAAAAAAAAATTACACCTATTCTGGTGTAGTGGCACACATCTTTGAACTCAGCACCAGGGAGACAGAGGTAGGTGGATCTCTGTAAGTTCAGGGCCAACCTGGTCTATATAGTGAGTTCCAGGACAGCTACATAGTGAGACCCTGTATAAAATAAATAAAGATAGATAGGTAGATAGGTAGGTAGGTAGGTAGGTAGGTAGGTAGATAGATAGATAGATGGATGGATGGATGGATGGATGACGGTCCTCCAGCCACAGCCTTTTGTTTTGTTTTGATTTTGTTTTTGGTTGGGTTTTTGTTGTTGTTTTTTGTTTTGTTTTGATTTTGTTTTTGGTTGGGTTTTTGTTGTTGTTTTTGTTTTGTTTTGATTTTTGGAGACATAGTTTCTCTATGTAGTCCTGGTTGCAAAGTCCTGTAACTTGCAATATAGACCAGGCTGGCTTGGAACTCATAGACTCTCCTGCCTCTAAGTGATGGGATTGTAGGCATGCACCACCACACCCAGGCTTTTGCTTTGTTTTATTGAGGCAGAGTCTCAAGTAGCTTAGGTTGGTCTCAAACTACCTATTAGGCCACGATGACACTTTCTTTGTGCACAAGTGTGCAGCTGCCTCTGGAGGTCAGAAGAGGGCATCAGAGCCTCTAGATTAGCAGTTCTCAACCTGTGGGTCATGACCCCTCTGTGGGGGTTGAATGACACTTTCACAGGAGTCACCTAAGACCTTGGGAAAACAGATATTTACATTATGATTAATAACAGAAGCAAAATTACAATTATGAAGTAGCAAGAAAAATAATTTTATGTATTAAAGAGTTACAACATGAAGAAGGCTGAGAACCACTGTTCTAGATGCTGGAATGATAGATGATGTGAGCCATCTGACGTCAGTTGGTGATAGGAACTGAACTTGGGTCCTCTGAAAGAGGAGCCAGCACTCTGAACCACTAAGCCATCTTTCCATCCCTGACACTTAACTTCTAATTCTCCTACCTCTAACTTCTCTTTAATGTGCACTGATATGCCCAGTTTATTTATTTATTTTATAATTTTTTTATTTAATTTTATTTTATGTGCCTAGGTGTGAAGGTGTCAGATCCCCTGGAACTGGAGTTACAGACAGTTGTGAGCTGCCGTGTGGGTGCTGGGAAGTGAACCTGGGTCTTCTGTAAGAGCAGACAGTGTTCTTAACCACTGAGTCATTTCTCCAGCCCCCAGTTTATTTATTAAGAACAACATATTCTATCCTAGCACTGGGGAAGGCAGAGGCAGGTGGAGCTCTGTGAGTTCAAGGCCCACCTGATCTAAAAGTGAGTCCAGGACAGTCAAGGCTACACAAAGAAACTGTCTTGAAAAAAACAAAAACAAACAAAAAACAACAACAAAAAAAATTCTGTAAATTGAGGGAACTGTGAAGGAAAATTTTTTCAAACATAATTGTTACAGATTAATTTGTAACACCGTGTATTTTACAATTTCCACAAAGCTAAGCCAAGAAATCAGACACTAAAACCAACATGGTTTCTTCTTTCTATTATTTTTGTCTTGTAAGCACATGTGTGTGGGCATACATATGGCACAGCATGTGTGTGGAAGGCAAAAGACATCTTCCTTTACATGGATAGCAGAGGCTGGAATCAGGGCCTCAGGAGGGAGGTAAGCACCTTTACCCACTAAGCAATCATGCCAGCTCAGTTGGTTTTTTCTTTTTGTTTATTATTTGTTTTCTGAATTAGGAAAGGGTTTCAATATATACTGGCCTGGAGTTCACTGTATAGGTCAATTTTACCCTGGACTCACGGAGATCTGCTAGCCTTTGTCTCTTGAATACTAGTATTATAGGTATGTACTACCATGCCCGGCTCTATTTCTTTTTCTTGAATGCACATATTCATACACATTCCCACAAAGTTGCATACTAACAAGGACATATAAAAGAACAATGACCCTTTATTTAAAGAATGGAAGAGAGCTGGAATACTTGGATGGTGCAGAAGGATATATGTCCGTAATTACTTCCTAGCACTGTTTGTAATCACATAGAAAGAAAACTACCCAGGTGCCCAGCAACAGGGGACTGGTTAAGCTACATTATGAACCATCCACTTAATGAAATCCCTGGCACCATAAAGAGAAATGATGTGTCTAGGGACATAGTTCAATTAGAAGACTGCCTTCCTAGCACGCATGAGTGCTAGGATCTCTAGCACTGCATAAAATAGGCATGGTAGAGCATACTTGTAAACCCAGCATGCAAAGTAGATAGTAATTTTAAAGCCAGCCTAGGCTTACATAAGACCCTGTCTGTCTTAAACAACAAATCAAAACAAACAAAAAAAGGATGTGTATATGTGCACACGTGTGCAAATGAGTGAGAAAGAGTGTGTGTGTATGTATGTTTGTGTATATGCCAAAGATTGATGTCAGGAGTCTCTCTCTCCTTGTTTTTTTTGAAACACAGCGTCTTGTTGAACTTAAGAGGTTGCTGCTTCAGCTAGACTAGTAGACCAAGAAGCTCTGGAGACCACTGATGTCTGCCCTAGACAGCAATGAACTTATAGATGTTCACTGCCAAAATCAGGTTTGACTTGGGTGCTGGGAATCTAACGTGAAGTCCTTATGCAAGCACTTTACCCACTGAGTCATCACTCAATCCCTGAGACTCTACCTCAAATAAATAAATAATACAAAAGACAAGAATAACACACTATTAAGCAAATATGCAGATATAGTAGGTACAGTACATTGCTACTGAATTACTACATTTTTCTATCTATTCTGTGTGGTTGAGTTTGTGTGGATGTGTGTGGGCACACATGTGCCATGTGCACATAAGGGCAGACCTGTAAGGAGGCAGTTTTCTCCTTCTACACTTGTGTCCTAGGGAAAGAGCACTGATCAACAGGTTTGGCAGCAGGCATCTTTACCTATTCAGACAACTCATTGGCCTGAAATTTTTTTTTTTTTTTTCAAAAGCTCAGAAGCCAGGTACAGTGTCATAAGCCTATAACACTGGTACTCAGGAGGTTAAGGTAAGACCATGAGTTTAAGACCAGCCTGAGTTATAAAATGAAATCCTGTCTCAAACAAAAATCAAGTTTAGGACATGAATTTAGCTCAGTTAATAGAGTACTTGACTGTCATGCATGAAGCCCCAGCCTCAATTTTTAGCACTGTATAAGATAAAATAAGCAGAAACATCAAATAGCTTTGCAAGGGTTCACAAGAAACTAGAAATTCAATGGAGGAACTGGGGAAAGAACAGGAAAGAGCATTTTCACCATTTACTTTTCCATGTATTTTGAGCCATATGAATGTGTTACCTATTTGAAAATAATAAAGGTACAATTGAAAACAGGGAAGAAGCTGGGCAGTGGTGGCACATGCTTTTAATCCCAGCACTCAGGAGGAAGAGGGAGGTGAATCTCTGGAAGTGTGAAGCGAGCCTGCCCTACAGAGTGAGTTCCAGAACAGCCAGGGGCTACCCAGAGAAATCCTGTCTGGAAAAACAGATATAGATAGATAGATAAATAGATAGATGGATGGATGATAGATAGATAGATAGATAGATAGATAGATAGATAGATAGATAGATAGATAGATAGAAAAGAGAGAGAGAAAAAAGGAAAGAAAATAGGGAAGAAAAAAGTAACCGGGAAGAACCGGGACTGTAATCAGCAAACAACTCAGAAATCACTAGGAACTGTCTGTGTTAACTCACATACTGACAGAGCTTCACAAAACGCACACTCTATACATGTGGCATAGCTGTGGCTAGTTTCTTTTAATTCCCAGTTTTTAATTTCTGAACCCAAAGGGCTAAAGATGCATTGAGAACAAAAGGATAGGCCTTCAGAGAGAGCAGCCTAAAACACACTTACCTTGTTTTTTTTCCTGTTTGTTCATTTTATCACTTAGATAAGCGTATGGGAAACATTTCCTGATTTTCTGTGGAATTAACTTGAATTCCCAAGGGTACCACAGAAACATATGAGCAGAAGGCAGATGGGAAGACCATACCAAGACCATCATCACAGTGAGAAGCCACACATGAGCAATCCGTGGGGAGGGGAATTCTAGGCTTTCACAAGTCCCTCAATCACAAAGTTCAGTACTGATGCCAAGAAAAACAGAAAAATTTAACCAAATAACTGAGCTTTTCCCTCCTTATTTTCCCAAAAATGTAGGGAAAAAAGATAATTTACCTGTGATAAAATTTACCCACTGAACCTTCTGAACAGGAAATGACCTTCTTCTGTAAAGAGAGTTCTATGGAAACAAGACTAGTTGCTCACAAATGATTCACAGCTCCCAGCACAGAGAAAGGAGTTTAAACACCAAGGAAGTTAAGCACCCTTACGATTTCTGTAGTTCTAGCAACTGACGGCGGCGCTCACTCTGCTCCGAGGAACTGTACTTGGATTTGTACTGGGACAGGCGAGGGTGTGGGGCAGCTGTGCTATTCAGTTCTTGAGACACAGAAAAGCTACTAGCTAGGGCTTCACTCAGTTCTTCCATCTTCCCTATTAAGAAAAACATAAAGAAAATGGCTCATTAATTCACTTCATCCCAAGATGATAGGCACTTATGCTGTAATTAAAAAAAAAAAACAAAAACAAAAAAAAAACCTCACCTAATCACAAATTAGTTGTTTCTGTTAAGGAAGGCAAAATGATAAATGAGTTATATTTTAGCAATAATAATGTTATTTTCTACCAGTACTTCAATAATGGTGAGTTTACTAGCTGAGAGAATAGTCACTCTTTTTTTTTCTATTTTCCATTATAATGAGCCACCCTTGACATTCAATGTTATGACTGAGCATCTTAATTTTTTTTTCCTAAACAGTTCTAGAGAGCCATCACTCATAGCAAATATAACTCTGATGGAATTTTCTTTTTCATTTTTGAAAAAGGGGTTTACCACATAACCCTGGCTGGTTTCAAACACACAAAGACTTCCCCCATCTCTGCCCCCAAGTGCTGGAATTAAAGACATAGGCTTAAAAAAAAAAAAAAAACTAAACTAAAAATGTAAAGAAAAAGAAATGACTTGGGAGCCAGGTATAGCAGCTCACTCCTATAATCCCAACACTTCAGAAGTGGAAGCAGGCACATCTGGGTCTCAGGGTCTCAGGGTCGACCTCAGCTAGAGGGGGACCAGCCTCCACTACATGAGACCCTGCTTCCCAACACACAGGAGGAAGAAGCAGGTGGGTCTCTGTGAGTAATCTATAAATCTAATGTAATTCCTACAAAAATTCCCCCACATTCTAATGACACTCTTTACAGAACTGGAGAAAAAAAATCAAAACTCTACATAGAAATACAAAAAGACCACATATAGCCAAAGCAGTCTTAAGCAAAGAAAATACTGCTGAAGGTATCACAATATCTGACCTCAAATTATTCTACAGAGCCATAGAGCCATAGCGACACACACACACACACACACACACACACACACAGTACATTAAGTGCAATTTCAAAAAATGTTCAACATCCTAACTCATCAGGAAATGAAAATTAAAACCACATTGAGGGGCTGGAAAGATAGCTCAGCATTTGAGAGCGCTGGCTCTTACAGAGGACCCTGGTTCAGTTCCCAGCACCCACGTGGTGGTTCATGATCATCTGTAATTCCAGTTCTGCCCTCTTCTGATGTCTGTATCAGGCACCAGATACATGCAGGCAAATGTTCATACAAATAAAACAAATAAATATTTTAATTAAAAAACACTTTGATATTTCATCTTACCATAGAATGTCTATCATAAAGAAAACAAATAACAAACACTGGAGAGGATGATGTGGAAAAAATATGAATTTATATTTACTGCTAGTGGGAGACTTATTCAGCTTTTATGGAAATTAGTATGGATGTTTTTTTAAGTTAAAAATAGGACTACAATATGATCCAGGAACACTATTTGTGCTAGCTAATTTTATGTCAACTATGACAAAAGCTAGAGTCATCGTCAAACAAGGAACTTCAGTTAAGAAAATATCTCATGGGCTGGAGAGATGGCTCAGCGGCTAAGAGCACTTACTGCTCCTGTAGATCAGGATTTAACTGGCAGCACCCACATGGCAGTTCACCACAGCTTGTAACTCAAGTTCCTGGGTCAAAGCCACCTTCTGACTTCTAAGGGTTCCTGCACCCACTTGGTACACAAACATACACAAAGGCAGACATATACACAGAAAAAAAAATTTAATGTAAATAAATAAATAAAAACTTAAAAAAAGAAACAAAGAAAATGCCAGGGCCAAGTGTGGTAACACGTATGACTTTAATTCCAGTACTTGGGAGTCAGAGGCAGGCCTAGTCTACATAGAGTTCTAGGGCAGCCAGGGCTACATCTCAAAAAACTAAAAAAGAGAATGTCCCCACCAGACTGGCCTGTAACAAGCCTGGGTACATTTCCTTGATTGATGATTGATGTGGGAAGACCCAGTTCACTGTGGGCAGTGCCACCAATGGGCAGCTGATCCTGGGTGCTATAAGAAAGCAGACTAAAGCTAACTCAGTGGCACACACCTATAATCCCAGCACTCCAAGTTCAAGACTAGCCTGGTCTACAAAGTGAGTCGAGGACAGCCAAGGCTACACACAGAAATCCTGTCTCGAAAAACTAAGAAAGAAAAGAAAGGAAGGGAGGGAGGGAGGGAAGCAAGAAAGCAAGAAAGAAAAAGAAGAAAGAAAGAAAGAAAGAAAGAAAGAAAGGAAGGAAGGAAGGAAGGAAGGAAGGAAGGAAGGAAGGAAGGAAGGAAGGAAG